TTTTGTGTAATTTCCTCGTTAATAAACCAACATTTCATTCCTAGATTAGATACCTACCTATTATAAACGATACCTAGTATTATAAAAGAGTTGTAACATGTACACTCAAATCAAATGAAAAAGTATTCTTTCATTCACAAAATATATTCTGTCAAATTCTAACAGACTCAAATCATTTATTATATTTACTCATAAAAAGGAAGAGAGAGAGAGAGAGAGAGAGAGAGTCCAAAAAAAATAAACTATGTAATTCAATTGTCTGTCCATCAATAGATAACTCTATACACTGTTGAATTTTCCGTATAAATTAAGCATTGAAATATGTAATTCACGGAGAAAAGTATAGCATATATTCAAAACAATTCAAAGTCTGCAAAATAGAAACAAACTAGTAATCGCACAGAAACCTCCAAAAAGTTGAATCAACTTTTTTAATTTTGGGAGTTGCTACAATTACCGGGGGTTGACAACCCTCCTCGCCCGCCACTCACAATGGTGGGGGCCCACCTTTTTTAAAAACAGGTGGGCCCCACCATTGTGAGGGGCCGGTGATAAAAAAGGTGGGCCCCCCACTGTGAGTGGCCTAAAAACAGGTGGGCCCCACCATTGTGAGGGGCCGGTGATAAAAAAGGTGGGCCCCCCACTGTGAGTGGCCGGTGAGGGGGGGGGTTGTCAACCCCGGTACAAACATCATTTCCGTTTAATTTTTTTGGGGGTAGCGGTTGGTTTTACCTCTAATACCGGCATTGTTGACCAAAGCATCGATCCGTCCGAACGAATCCCAAGCCTTTTGCACAGAAGCCTCGATGGTTGGTCCACTGGCGCTCACGTCCAGTTCCACGGCCACAGCTCTGGCTTGATCGTGGCTCGGATCACTTGATTTGGAGGAAGCAATACCATTATTGATCTCATCGCAGAGTGATTTCAGGCGGTCGATTCGCCTGGCGGCGGCTATTATTTTGCAGCCGGCTTTGGCTAAGTCCAAACAGAACACCCGACCCAGTCCCGACGACGCGCCAGTCACCATCACGACCTTGTTTTCCAACTCCTGCCATGGCTCCAAGCTCTCCATTCTCGTGTTGAGTGATTCTCGTGTGTCTCGTTTGAACCTTTTGCCAGTGATGAAAATTTCAAGTGCATTTACGCCAATTTCATATTTGTCCACTAAAAAGTATCTAATTTTGATAATTTTTGAAAAATTGACCAAATTTGATACCAAATTGTCCATTTATAAAAAATGAAGCAATTTTTTTCAAGAAAATATTACAAGAAATGTCCACTTTCACATTGTCATTTGTAAAAAATCCAAAATTTGTTCAATGTTCATTTTGCAATATTTTAGACCTAAATACCATTGTTAATAAATTTATAATTCCACGCTAAAGACAAAAATGTGCATACAATTAAATATTTTGTAGATGAAGCCCCAGTTTGGTGTACATTTTGAAGGTAAGAATGAATTTTTACTGTTGATGTGATGGAAAATATGTTATTGAAAAAGAAGTAAAAATTATTGATGTGATGAAAAATATTATTTTATTGAAAAATGTGTGGTTGAAAATTAATAGAAGAATGATAATGAAAAAAAAAATGTGGACCAAACAGGGCCAATAAAATTTTGACACTTAACCT